ATAATCGCAGTACAAAGACTTTACTATAAATTTGAGTTGCATCTTCCGTCTCTGTAAGTCAAGGGGTAGGACACCACAGTCTACTTCCATGGCTGATATAGGGGTGTGTTTCAATGCTCCACAACATAATCGCAAGCATCGATTTTGAATAACGTCCAGTTATTTAAGGACTGAGTAACTCGTAGAGTCATAGATGATACTGCCATAGTCAATAAAGGATCGTATTAAGGTTTTATACATAAGTAATAAAGTCTTTTTGGACGCTCCCCGGACACACCTTTAAGCAAATTGAGTCGTTTAGGATATGTTTGTGAGACATAAGTGATATGACGCGTCCAACGTAACCTGAAATCAAAGATAACTCCAAGAAATTTGGATTGGATGACGGAGGCTAGTTGGTGGTTATTAAAAATAATTTCACTGTGTTTGAAGTACGAGAAAAAGGGAGAACTTCAGACTTTCGGGCTGAAACCGTAAAGCCCCATTTAAAAACCCAATCGGCTAAATTATCCAGATTTGTTTGAAGACAGATTTAGATATGATTAATATTACGACCTGTTTTCCAGAGAGCTAAATCATCAGCAAACGTACTATAATTCGTGCCATTACTAACGTCATTAATCATGAGAATGAACAAAATAGGGCTAATAACACTACCCTGGGGAGTGTCATTTTCTGAGACTATTTCCCCAGAGACAACTCCATTGACTCTGACCTTAAAGGATCTGTTTGAAAGAAATCCTTTAATCCAGTTGAAAAGTTGGCCATTAAAACCGTAACTATTGAGTTTATATAACAATCCTTCTTTCCAGACCATATCGTATGCTCTTTCAATATCCAAGAACACAGACACTGCCTTACCTCTGTTGCACAATGATTTGTTGACATCTTCATGTAGCAGTAACAGATGATCAAGCGTAGACTTCTTCCAATGGAAACCAGACTGAAACTTGTCGAAAAGTCTATGTTTTGCACAATACCAATGCAAACGGTTGGCAATCATTCGTTTCATAATTTTACACATAATAAAAGTAAGAGCAATTGGTCGATACGATGTAACAGAGCTTGGATCCTTATCTGGCTTAGGAATTGGGCAAACTATTACGTGCTTCCAGGCTAAAGGTAGGGTTCCTTCATGCCATATCATATTGAAAAATTCCAGCAATTTTACCAAAATATTTATAGAAAGATTTTTATAGATTTTATAAAGAATTCTATCGTCACCAGAGGCCGAGTTTTTAGACGTCTTTATTGCTTGTTTAATTTCACTGATATTGAATTTAGCATTCAATGCATTATTATTATTTGGCTTCTTGGTAATAGTGGCGGAATTGTCATGTTTAAATAATTTCTTATATTTCGAAAATTCGGTTGAATAATTGCCAGAACTGCTGATGTGGGCAAATTGATCAGACAGCGCATTCGCCTTTTCAACATCCGTCAGATATGCTGATCCAGGAGTTTTAAGCGTAGGAATAGGGATAGAACCCTCACCCTTCATACGCTTCATGAATTTCCATATTTTATTTAAATCTGATGAATGGTTTAAACGACAGCAGTACTCACGTCAGAATTATTGTTGGAGTGCTCAAATCGTTCGTTGACAAATGGCCTTCTGCTTTTTATATTCAATATAATCGTCTAAGAGACGTGTTTTAAAAGCTTTCTTCCTACTCTTGTTTTTTAGTTTAACTGCTTTTTCACATTCCATATTCCAATAGGGGGGTTTGATGTTTGCCACCGCCTGTGGTTGATTGTGGGATAAATTTCTCTGCTCCTTCCAAAATGATATATACTAGACGGGAATATACAGATTCAACAGAAGAAGACATATCTATGTTTTGAATGGAAGAATCAAGAAACGTACGGAAGTTGAACCAGTTTGCTTTGCTAAAGTTCCAGAAGGTCGTCGGACTCTTAACTTCAAAAGGGAATTTAACAAATGTAATTACCGGGGGATGGTCACTTCCCAGGTCATCATCTATAACATCCCAGGTAGCAAAACTAGCAAATTTACTATCTACAATCGTTAGATCCAGAGCAGAGAGATTACCCCGAACAATACATGTCCCACGACCGTCATTTAACACCACTTTATCAGATTCCATAACTAGATCTCCGAGAATCTGACCTCGACGGTCTAATTTTGTTCCACCCCATAAAGGGTTGTGAGCATTAAAATCTCCACAAATGATACAGTTTGGAAGAAAAAACTCTAGATATTCAGCAGGATCAATATCGACACCAGGATTATAGATATTAAATATCGTTACTCTGCCCATAGAAATCTCACATTGGACCCCAACAGCTTCTATACTTTCTGGGCAACTAACGACAGTGAAGAGAAAGTGATTCTTGACAAGAGTAAGTACACCTTCCTTTGGTGAATGTTCCCGATCTTTTCGAATAGGTTTATAACCGTGTATGCGGAATTTTATATGGGGTTTGAGAAACGATTCCTGAATACAAATAACATTGGGATTTATGCGGTGAGTTTCAAGGTAACGAATAAAGAATGGAGCACGAGCCTTAATGCCTTCGGCATTCCGCTGTAATATCTGTAAAGGACCTATTGTTTATTTATAGGTGAACTTACTTGGTAGATTTGATTCTGGATTGATATCAAAACCAAAAATGGTATTTGCCAATTCGGTTATGAAAGATATCCTCGATTTTATGCAATTCTTATGCCAAAAGGACTGGTCTTGAGCAATCGAAATTATTTTGGCTACGAAAGTAAAGATTTGTTCAAATAGTTGAGGTGGCATACTCATTTTGGGAAATGTTATCGTTACGTTCGTCAGAAGATCGGGGTTGCTGTGGTTCTTTAGGCAGAAGTTTTGTTTCCACTGAGCAACAATTTTAATTGCTTGGGCGTAACTTAGTTTTGACTGTACTTTAACAACCTGGACCTTCTTTGCCTCTTGAAATTTTTCACAGCCCTTGTATGCTGCCGAATTTTCACCCCCACATAAACAACATACTAGAGTCTGCTTAGTACAGTCCTTTACGTTGTGATTTTCGCTACACTTTGAACACTGAACGTTACTGCGGCACACGTTTGCAATATGATCGTAACGTTGGTACTTAAAGCATCACGTCAAGTGGGGGATAAATTCCCGGACAAGAAAAGACAAAAAAGCCGAGATGTACTCTCTTAGGTAGGGTTGTAGTCGAAAAATGAGGTATAACGGAACTTATAGGTTCTTTAACTTTTAAATCTTTATTGTAGCGCGTCATTCTTACCGCTTTCGTAACATCCTCTATGGTTGTACAGTCCTCTTCCATAATGTCGAGGTGGACACCATGAATGATGCCCCTAACAGAAAGTGGGGGAACGTCTTGAATTTGTGAACGAATTTTGTATCCACAAATGTTTTTATTTCGACACAATAATCTCGAATGTGAGTATGAACAGACTATCTTAATACGATCCGTTTGTAACTGAATATTTTCAGTA